GTAGTAGTAGGTAGTAGTTGGTAGTAGTAGGTAGTAGTAGGTAGTAGTAGGTAGTAGTAGGTAGTAGTAGGTAGTAGTAGGTAGTAGTAGGTAGTAGTAGGTAGTAGTAGGTAGTAGTAGGTAGTAGTAGGTAGTAGTAGGTAGTAGTCGAAGGAAGTTTGGAAGTCAAACTTCCGACAATATGGAGAGATGAAAAAGCAGTCAGCAGGGAGAAGAGTCAGAAGAGAAAAGATCAGAAGAAAGAAGATGCAGGTGCGCGAAAAGGTAGGAAAGTCGCGAAACACTGTATTTTTTCGTGGTTTTGTGGCTCCGGAGGGTTGAAAAGTAGGCTCGCTAAAGCGGCGGGTGCGGAGACATCTGGGGAGATGAGAGATGAAAAGTTGCACGCCGTTGTGGCGCGAAGCACATTTGGAAGTAAAATGTGTTAAAAACTGAGGGGTTCGGACCACTTTTGGAAGTTGAGATGTTGAAAAAGTGCACGCCGTTGTGGCGCGAAGCACATTTCGAAGTCAAAATGTACAAAACACACCAGCTCCGGACCACTTTTGTCAGTTGAGATGTCGAAAAAGTGCATGCCGTTGTGGCGCGAAGCACATTTCGAAGTCAAAATGTACAAAACACCACATGTTCGCGCCACTTTTGGAGGTTCAGATCTCGAAAAAGTGCACGCCGTTGTGGCGCGAAGCACATTTCGAAGTCAAAATGTACAAAGCACTAGGGGTTCGGACCACTTTTGGAGGTTCAGATGTCGCTTCGCTTCGCTTCGCTTCGGGTCATTACACTACACTATACACTCCACTACGCTACAGTACATTACACTACACTACACTCCACAACACTACAACTACAACTACAGAACTACATAACTACACCCCACTACACCCCACTACATTAAATTACAATACACTACGCCACATTACACTCCACTACACTACACTACATTACACTACACTATACACTCCACTACACTACATTACACTACACTATACAGTCCACACACTACAGTACATTACACTACACTACACTCCACAACACTACAACTACAACTACAGAACTACACAACTACACTCCACTACACTCCACTACACACCGCTACACGAAATTACACTACACTACATTACACTACACTAGAAAGATCGATAGATAGATAGATACATAGAAAATAGATAGGTAGGTAGGTAGATAGTCAGAGAAAGAAAGAGAAAGAGTGAGAGAGATCAAGCACCTTTCAGTCCATCAGTGGCTTCGCTCTGCCATCCCGGATTCACAACAACCAAGCTCTCCTATAGGTTTCCTATTTTTGAAACTTCCGCCACCGCCTTGTGCGGTACTACTGGTAGGTAGTAGCAGGTAGTAGTAGGTAGTAGTAGGTAGTAGTAGGTAGTAGTAGGTAGTAGTAGGTAGTAGTAGGTAGTAGTAGGTAGTAGTAGGTAGTAGGTAGTAGTAGGTAGTAGTAGGTAGTAGTAGGTAGTAGTAGGTAGTAGTAGGTAGTAGTCCGTAGTAGTAGGTAGTAGTAGGTAGTAGTAGGTAGTAGCAGGTAGAATTAGGTAGTAGTAGGTAGTAGTCCGTAGTAGTAGGTAGTAGTAGGTGGTAGTAGGTAGTAGTAGGTAGTAGTAGGTAGTAGTAGGTAGTAGTAGGTAGTAGTAGGTAGTAGTAGGTAGTAGTAGTAGTAGTAGTAGTAGTAGTAGTAGTAGGTAGTAGTAGGTAGTAGTAGGTGGTAGTAGGTAGTAGTAGGTAGTAGTAGGTAGTAGTAGGTAGTAGTAGGTAGTAGTAGTAGTAGTAGGTAGTAGTAGTAGTAGGTAGTAGTAGGTAGTAGTAGGTAGTAGTAGGTAGTAGTAGTAGTAGTAGTAGGTAGTAGTAGGTAGTAGTAGGTAGTAGTAGGTAGTAGTAGGTAGTAGGTAGTAGTAGGTAGTAGTAGGTAGTAGTAGGTAGTAGTAGGTAGTAGTAGGTAGTAGTAGGTAGTAGTAGGTAGTAGTAGGTAGTAGTAGGTAGTAGGTAGTATAGTAAGTAATCGATTTGCGCCAGGAGCCTTTAGCCTCTTCAAAGTCTTTCGACGGAGGCCATCTCCCCCCTATTCCTGGAGAGGTTCGTACAAGGCTCAGACCGGCTCACAGCTTTTCAAGGGGTGAAGGATCATGGAAGCCGGACTGTTTTCGTTCATGCTGATTTTCGAATTTTTGATCACTAAAAATGGGGGTGTAGGTCTCAGTTTGTTCCGTCGTAGATATCGGAGCACTTGGAAATCGTTTGATTACTTTGCTGCCGCCGGGAACTTGTGCAACTTATAAGTTAGTTACGGTAGTGTACGTTATCTTGATTGTTTTTTAGAGAACTTATAAGTTCATTTAAGTTCATTAAGTTCTAAGTAGGTTGTTTGATGTTTTTTGATGATTTTTTTTTACTTTTAGCATGTATTTTTACGGGCAAACACCTCAATTTGCCCGCGCTTGTTGGCGGCCATCTTCGTATGTGCTGAAAACGTGGTAAAAATTCGAGTTTTTTTTGCATCATGGCCAACTTCATGTTGTATATCGGCACGCACAGCATAGGGACCTGTGCGAGTCCCTTACACATCATCATCATCATCATCAAACCCTTATTGAAGATCTTCAATGAATGTAGAAGTTTAACGGGGGTGGGAGAATTAAACCCTTATTGAAGATCTTCGATGAATGTAGAAGTTTAACGGGGGTGGGAGAATTAAACCCTTATTGAAGATCTTCAATGAATGTAGAAGTTTAACGGAGGTGGGAGAATTAAAGCCTTATTGAAGATCTTCAATGAATGTAGAAGTTTAACGGGGGTGGGAGAATTAAAGCCTTATTGAAGATCTTCAATGAATGTAGAAGTTTAACAGGGGTGGGAGAATTAAAGCCTTATTGAAGATCTTCAATGAATGTACAGTAAAGTTTAACGCGGGTGGGAACATTATACTCCCTAAATACCCTTGTTGATCTTCCCAATTGAATGTAAAGTCTAATGTTTGATATCCCCAAGTGTACAGCATAGAAGGGGTGTGGGCGAATCGGGGTGTTTGCGCGTATTTTTACCGAAGTGTGTTTGTTTCAGTGATGTTCATTTGTTTTATATGTTTTATGCAGCAACTTGTTTTTTCTGTTTCCACATTCGCGGATGCTCATTGCAAGAGCCCCAACTTATTGTTGTCGTGGCGAACGTACATGAATTGTGTGCACTCTGAATTAAAGTTCTTAGTGACCGGCAGCAGCGAGATTTCGTCTGCACTCATCCGCACTCATGGCACCTATTTGCGGTTTTCACTCGCACTCATCCGCACTCACACAACAGGGGCCAAACCTCCCGAAACCGGTCCGCACTCATGCCGCACTCACGTGTTTTCATCACTTTCATCCAAGTCGCACTCATCCGCACTCATGGCGGCATCATGACGTTTTCGCCGCACTCATCCGCACTCATCCGCACTCATCCGCACTCTTCCGCACGATCCTTGCGCCTATGCATCCACGCATCTTCCACACTCGCGAGTGAGCGGATGCTTAGCAGAAATCTCTATGCCGCTTGGATGTGCTTCTCCAGATCTACCCTATCATCATCCAAATCGATGATTTTCATACATGAGCCAAAACAACATAAAACCATTGTTTTTTTCAAAAAAACATACTTTATAAAAACAGATGTCAAAAAACAGAAAAAACTAAGTTCCATAACTTCAAAATAACTTCTAGACATGCTACGTTTACAAAATCGCTAACTAACTTATAAGTACATAACTTTTCACTAACTAACGATTTTTTGAGGAACTTATAAGTAAGTTATCAAGTTATATCATAACTTATCCCAAGATAACTATGGGCAAAAGTTACACTATAAGTTCACAAGTTCCCCGCAGCAGCAAAGTATGGGTAGGCAGAGGGTGGGATCAAAAACAACCTTGTCACGTTTGAGATTTTTGTGCGCATGTTCATTGTTGAACTTTCCATGGCATGCGTACATGTTTGCAGCATTTTGGGCTGCCAATCCCTGAAAGAGTCCCGAAAGAGGAAGAAAGCTTGGACAAGTAGTTTAGGGCAGTTCCAGGAAAAAGCTGCGTTGTGCTTTGACCTGCGGTTTGAGTGACCTCGTTGAAAGATTTTCTCAATTTTGTTGATGAAACTTGTAAACGGGGCGGCTAAACAACCAACCAGCATCGTATCCCTATCGCGATGTGTAAAGTGTAAACCTGAAATCGTTGTTTTTTTGTTGGAAAAAGATACAGTAGCCTTCCCCCTTTTGCTGTTTGTTAGGACCCAAAAACCCGGTAGTCAATGATCATGTTTTGCATGGACAAATGCCAAGTTGTTGGAGTAATCCATGAGGTTCGGACAGTTTCAAAAGGCCATAATTATTGGGAACATCCCCACAATAGGTTCCCATTGTGGCCGGGATCACTGTACCCCAATTTTTTCCCACATCTTTGTGTGGGGTTCTTGTTTTTTTGTTTCTGTATCCTGTCCGCTCTCCTCCTCCTCCTCCTCCTCCCGTCCTCCTCCGCCTCCTCCTCCACCTCCTCCACACAACTTTGTCACACAGACAACTTTGTCACACACCATCTCTCATTGTCACACACAACTTTGTCACACACCATCTTTGGTCACACACACACACAACTTTGTCACATACAACTTTGTCACACACAACTTTGTACTTTGTCACACGCCATTTTTTAATGTCACACGCAACTTTGTCACATCTTTGTCACATACAGCTTTGTCACATACAACTTTGTCACACACAACTTTGTCACACACCATCTTTCACACACACAAATTTGTCACACACAATTGTCACACACAAGTTTGTCACACACCTGCGTGGCAGGCGTGTCCACCTTCGTTTTGCAAGCGTGGCACTTATGACACTGGGTTGGATCTGGTGGCACGCTTGGGGGCCGTTAGTCGCCCGTGGCGCCGCGGCACTTTGCGTGGCAGGCGTGGCACTTGCTCGCAGCTGTGTTCTGCGTGGCAGGCGTGGCACTTATGGCACTGGGCGGGGTCTGGTGGGGCACTTGGTCGCCGTTGCGGCATTTTGTGTGGCAGGCGTGGCACTTGGTGACATCCATTGGCGTTTGACGTGGCAGGCGTGGCACTTGCTCAGATCGATTTTCGTTTTGCGTGGCAGGCGTGGCACTTATGCCTTATGCCAAAAAGACCGGTGCATATTTGTGCCGTATGATGTGAGTGCCAATGCTGTTTTTTCGATTTTCTTGCAGCTTTCTTCAAACTTTGGCATAAATTATGTTGCACCCATCTTGCATCGCTTTTTATCATTGTTCTGCTTGTGTCCACATTTGCTTTGCGGCCAGGTGCCTTATATAACTTCTGTGTGATCATGGCACCCATCACGAAGCTTGCCCCGATGGATGTGCTAGCTTTGACCCAACGTGGGCAGAAGTGCTTGCATGGCGCCTTTCACCACTGTGAATCGCAATTCGATTGCGTCCACACTTGCTTTGCGGCCAGGTCCCTATCCGCGCATCTCATCGAGCCTATGCGTGCGTCGTCAGTTTGTCCGTGCTAGCTAGCTTCGACACAATGCTCATAGCTTTTCCAACCGAATTCCAACGCTTTGACACAACGTGGGAAAAGGGCTTGCATCGCTTAGTTTTACGTGACTATGCGTGAGTTCCCGTGCCAAGCAGAGCGACCTATGGTCGTCTGTCACCCAGTTCCGGTGGAAGCACTTGGATCGCTTAGTTTTACATCACTGTGCATGTGCTCCTGCACCAAGCAGAGCGACCTATGGTCGCCTGTCACCTCGTTAGCTGGGGGTGCGGGATGACGCGGTCTTGTGTGCTTGGGGCCAACGCTCGGTTTCCGTCACTTCTGACGCGTCTGTGCCAAGGTCGTGTCGGTGAGCACGAAGCAATGCGCAATGTGCTCAGGCTCCGTCAAGTGGGAGGCCAGTTGTCACCAAACTGCATGCTCGATTTCACTTTGGGTGCGTCGGCTTTGAAGCAGCTGTCACTTTCTTTTTTCCCCACCTGCCAGGTGAGGGTTGTTAGATTTTATCACAGTTGTTCTCCTTCTTCTCCTTCTCCTTCACCTCCTTCTCCTCCACCAGGTCCACTTCTGCCACTTCCATGTCCACTTCCGCCTTGCCAACTCTTCGCCAAGCTCTTCGCCAACTTCCGCACGCAGTGGGCACTGCTGGACCCTCAACCTGGGACCTGCCGAGTTCAGTGAGCACCGCTGGACCTCAACCTGGGACCTTCCGAGCTCAGTGAGCACCGCTGGACCTCAACCTGGGACCTTCCGAGCTCAGTGAGCACCGCTGGACCTCAACCTGTTCAGTGAGCACCGCTGGACCTCAACCTGGGACCTTCCGAGCTCAGTGAGCACCGCTGGACCTCAACCTGGGACCCGCCGAGCTCAGTGAGCACCGCTGGACCTCAACCTGGGACCTTCCGATCTCAGTGAGCACCACTGGACCCCAACGGCCAGATAGAATGCCATATGCCAGATAAAACGCCAGATAGCATGTCAGATAGAATGCCAGAAGATATGCCAGATAAAATGCCAGAAGATATGCCAGATAGAATGCCAGAAGATATGCCAGATAGAATGCCAGAAGGTATGCCCAGATAAAGTGCCAGAATGTTTGCAGATAGAATGCCAGAAGATTGCCAGATAGAATGCCAGATAGGATGTCAGAAGATATGCCAGAAGATATGCCAGATAGAATGCCAGATAGAATGCCAGATGATTTGCCAGATGATATGTCAGAAGATATGCCAGAAGATGTGCCAGATAGAATGCCAAATAGAATGCCAGAAGATATGCCAGATAGAATGCCAGATCGAATGCCAGAAGATATGTCAGATGGAATGCCAGAAGATATGCCAGATAGAATGTCAGAAGATTTGCCAGTAACAAAACGTATAAATGTCATGGTGGGGATCACACGAAGTAAAGTAATTGTTTTTGTCTATTCCTCAACTGTGTGCGGCTGGTTATTAGCTAAAGTGCAGCACCGTTTAGTTTTACGTCACTGGGCATGTGTTCCTGTACCGCGCACGCGGCCGAGTATTTTAAATGACGGCAAGGGCAATGGGCTAACGTGCCTTGCCGGGCACATGCCGATGGTCGGCACGCATGAAGCAATCTGCAACATGCCAAGGCAACGTCCAGCGGGAGGCTCTCAAATCACACGACCTGCTGCAATCGCATGTGCCTGTTGTGTCAATCCTGGTTCGTCTCATGTTTTGCTGTGTGCTCCTGTACCAAGCAGACCGACGTGATGTCGTCTATCACCTCGTTGGCCGGGGGTGCGGGATGATGCGGTTGTGTGTGCTTGGGACCAACGCTCGGTTTCCAACCGGGTATGACAGCAAGGGCAATGGGCTAATGAACCTTTCTGGGCGCACACCGAGGCACTGGCCGGTCAGTTCACGTCCTCGTGACTGTCGAGCGTCCTGCCCTGGTCTCTACCGCGTGGCTTGGGAGGACGGCTTTGCACAAGTTTGGCACACGCAACTCTTGCACACACAACTCTTTTACACACAATTTTCTCACACACAACTCGGTCACACTCTTACACAAATATTTCACAACTTCCTCACACACAAAACGCTTGCACACACAACTGTTTCACCCTCATACATCACACAGTTCTAACTAACACACACACAGACACAACTCTTCCACATACAACTGTTTTTTAACTGATCGATCCTCCAGCCTCCTTTGTCTTTCCTTCCTTCCCCGTCCCGCTTCAACTTTTGTTTCTAATTATTGGAACAAGTTGACTTGTGGGGTTATCCGGTCCTTTAATTTTCTGTTGATTTCTGTTGTCTGGTTTGCTTTCTTTCATAAACCCATCGCCCCAGCATTAACCCGTATGTTCGATGCTCAAACCATTGGTAAATTGCCCGTGCTGGGGAATGATCATCAACCCATTAATAGGGATTTTTCTCACGGCAAGGAATCCCTAATGATTCTGGAATATCCAAAAGCCACACACCATGGTTTGAACATAGCACATGTGATTGTTATTGATTGTTGGAGAATTATATATGGGTTTCCCTAAAGTGGGGGGGGGGGCCAGAATCATCCAACTTATTTGTCTTGTTGTTGAGGAAACCAATGGTTTGGGGCAGAACTTAGGAAACACCCATATCTTTATTATTCCTGCGAACCAGCCCATGTTTCCAGATTTGGTTGAAGGGAACATTTACGGGAAACCCTCATATACAATATATTATGTTATGTTTATTTGTTTATTCATTTTTCAAAATTTATTTATATTTATTTATATATTTGATATATCTACATGTAATATATGTATATATATATATACATACATACATTCATTTAACATGTAAACATATACACATGTATATATATATATATTCATATATATATATATGTAACATGTACATATCATACACATATACATAAATACATAATATAAGATATTTGGGGTTAAACATGGTTTCCTGTCCCATTTTCCTTGTATCCACTGAGACATTCAGCAGCTGGTCGCTTCGTTTCGACTTAGGTCCTCCACCTGAGGTTGCCCCACAGCTTCCGCAGGCAGAGGCCTGGGGGTGCTGCAATGAAATCCCCAAGAAAATGGAAAAATTAAATTTTAGCCGAAAATCATTGTGTTTTTTAGTGGGTTTCTACTGGCTAAGTTAATTTAATTCACTAGTATAAGTAAGGTTTTTGGCAGTTTATAAATAATTCATGGTGGTTTTAGACCTACCGTGACCAACCTATTAGCCTTATGACTGGGAAACCCGCCTTGTACCATGTGCCCCACCTGCCAGGTGAGGGTTACTAGATTTTATCAGAGCTGCATGCCGTGCACCTCGGCCTCCACCTTCCGCCCCGACTCCGCCCTCAACCGCGAGCTCCAGATTCCAGTGAGCACTGCCGGACCTCAACCGCGAGCGCCAGATCTCAGTGAACACCGCCGGACCTCAACCGCAAACTCCAGAGCTCAGTGGGGACTCCCGCACCACTGCCGGACAGCAACTGCAAGCGCCAGAGCTTGTTGGCACTGCTGGACCTCAACGGCGAGCGCCAGATCTCAGTGGGACTTCGCGAGAGCCTGTTTTCAGTGGGCGCTGCGGGACCTCAATTGCAAATGCAAGATGACACATAGAACGTCAGAATATATGCCAGATAGAGCATGTCAGAATAGATGCCAGAAAGAATGGCAAATAGAATGTCAGCGTATGTGCCAGAAAGAATGCCAGATAGAATGTCAGAATATTATATTATATTATATATATTCCATACATCTATACTTTCAGGTGGTATGTCAGAAACGATGCATCAGGGCGGGGATCACTCGAAGTAAAATGATTTTTTTCGTGGGCCGTGGGTGGTCAGCCAGCCGGCGATCGTAACTGGGTGATGTCCCTGTTGAACTGGATATATTTCATGGCCTATGAAAACATATGAAAACCACTTATGATCACTAGATGGCGAACTCCACCGCACATCGAGTATAATTATAGAGCTTATCGTCATAAGATGGATTTTTTTGTATATAGTGGGTTCGAGATATTGGGGTAAGGATCATCATTATCCGATCAGTGGATGTATCATGATGTATCAGACTTCTCACGGGGGCCAATGATAGAATCCAACCATGACAATATATTATGTTCAGAGAAACAAGTAACTTTAACTCTGATCATGAACACATTGCTGACACGGTCGAATGCTATACAGACCATTGAAGTGCGAACATATTTAACTTCATTCGTGAAATGGCTGGGAACCTCCGTTAATCTTTTCACAGGAATGCCGTGCAGAAGCACCCGTCCAACCAAGCAAAGATACAAGCGATGAATGCGTGCTGTCAAGTTTTTCTTGCCTCGCGCCCGGGATGTTGAAATATTACTGATACAAAAATTGAAGTCTAGTCTAATGTATTTAAGTCTATAAATTTATAAATATAGAAATGATAAGTAGTGGCCGATATTTCTTCCATTTCAAACGTTTGTCCATTCCATACGTTCATTGGCCCTGCAGTTGCTCGCAACAATTATGAGTCATGCAGGCATCGTATCTCACACCCGGTGGTGCTAGGAAGGTGAATCTTCACCAAGCGGATCTGTGAAGCTGAGAGCGGGGAAATGTTGGGGGCTGAGGCGCGTGGTTTAATCCCATCCTCCGTGCCCTCAGACACCCCAAAACAAAGCATGGTGGATGGGGATGAAATCGCATATTTGGGACCACATAGTAGAGGGTGTTTAAATGTGTTTCATATTGACGGGATTCACATGCGTCTACAATTGAAACATGTTAAGCTTTTATTAAAGCACCAGGTAGCCCAAAAGCATCCAACAACCACATCATTTGGACCAGGGAAACAAATCATAGGAACACGGAACACCCATTAAATTCATTAAATCACAATTAAAGATCATAAAATCCATACTGTAGTAAACCACACTAGCTCCTTGATGTCTCAAAACATTTGTCTTTTGTCCTTGGCTTCCGAGGTAATACCGCCCCAGCAAAGATGACTGCAGAAGTAGAGGCAGCCTGGCGCGGCAAGCCGTCCGGAATCCATTGTTGGTTTGTCTGGAAATGGGGGATCAAACCACAATAAACTTGGGCAAGTTGTATCGGAAAATGGATTGATGGAAATGATCATCAACAGTGGATTGGGTGAAATTCACCACATTTTCAGACAAACCCATCTCAGGAATCCTATGAAAATTTGCTGAAATTTGTTAATTGCTTTTCCAAAGGTAGTTTTATTGCACATGTTCAAACACTCTCTCCTGGCTCCAGTCTTGATCTGGCAGGTGGCAGAGCAAGCCAAAAAGGCTCGGAAGCCGCCCCTTTGTGTTGCTGAGGTCATCGTGTAAAACTGGATTTCAAGGTCGTCGTGCCAGCAAGTTTGCAGATTTCGGTGAGATGGCTACATTCCTTAGCTCCCGAACAAGTTGGACGCATCCAAAAGATGCACAATAAGTAACAATCATGGGATACAATGGGTGTTTCAACTGTACAGTGATGTACAGTGTCACCATATTGGCTTCTGTGTTTAATTCGTGTTTCCAGTGTCGATGCGTCGTGCTGGTGATGTCACCAGGTGAAGAAAAAGAAAGCTCGGACCACTTTTGCTTGGTTACAGACCTTGGTCCCATCCCAGATGGCAGTCTGGCGAGGCGGAGATACCACCGGATTGATCTCACGTGTCAAACATTTGTCTTCATCCAATCGCTTTCTTACATTCGTTTTCTAAATTGTGGTACTCGCAAATCATCCAAAATGATCAAACTTTAGTACTTCAACTTTTGCATTGTGGTTTTTGTGACTCCTCATTGAGCATACCCAAACGATCCCAACCCCTCTTCGTCCATTGCCGGCCACGCTCGATGCAAAGGATCCTCATCCAAGGAAGTCTGCGGAGCAGTGCCTACGGCTAGCAAACCATCCTACGGCACATCGGGGGAAGCCTCCCAACAAAGGATGTTCAATTGGGGCTTCTCCAACAAAAGTTGGGATATCATATGATGTTCACGTATAATAATGATGATATAACCTTGACGGCAGCCAAGGGTGGACAGATAGTCATTTGTCAACGCCATGTTCCTGTTGGACATGGCCATGCTGGCTTCTTAATGTTGACATGAAGGGCTGCCCGGTAGAGGGTACGGCAGATTCCCCATTTCCCATGGACCCAATATTATCCCATATTGAGGTTTCCTAGGGGTACCCCAAAATCATCTAGTCAGACCGTTTTAGTATTGAAACCCCTGGTTTGGGGGGATTATTGAAGCGCCCCAATAGAATCCCTATAGGGCAACCAGGTCATAAGTTAGAACCCACCGGGCTCCGTAACGTAACTTCAGTCGACTCGGGTTGCGAAGGTGCAAGCTGCGACGGCATCATCAGAGCTGGGTCCAATAGGCAACTTTTCTCCGGTGCCTTCCAGATGATCTGGACAGGTTCAGCAAACATCAGCTGCAAAAAGCAGTGAGGTGTAGAGTTCAATGAGGGGTTTCCATAGTCATGGGGGCACCCCAATAGCTGGATGGTTTATGATGCAAAGTCCTTTTGCGTGATTTTACATGTTGAAAGGATGATATGGGGGATAGCCATGATTGGAAACCTTCACATGGTCTGAAGGGTAATTATTGCAGTTATTGCAGGTGTGCCTAAGGAACTGGTGGACTGTGGTGGACCATCATGTTGCCTCTTGAAACTGCCACAGGCATCCCCAGGCTAAATGATTAAGGGGGTCAGGTAAGTCCATGCAAATCCCCGAATTTCAGACACAACCCGATGACATGAGAAGCTTTGCTTGGACCCTTTTTTCGGGCTCCTGCGAAGTTTTTTTCAAAGAACTGCTGCCAAACCCACTTCTTTTCACTTCATCGACATAACATCTCCTACTTCCTTTACAGGATCTACATCATCTACATCAACTTCATCTACGTCATATACACATCAACTACATATCGAACATCTCGTCTATATCCTTTACATCACCTATTGTACATCCTCTACATGAACTGCATCTACATCACTTACATCACCTACATCATCTATATCAACCTCATCTGCGTCACATACATCATCAACATCATCTTCATTAACTTCAGCAAATCACATACATCAACTTCATCTACATCACATACATACATCACATACATACATCACATACATAATCTACAATACATACATCACGTAGATCATCTACATCATCGACAGGAGTTCTTACACAGGAGTTGTGACAAATTCTTACAGAGAAGTTCTGACACAGGAGTCGCTATACACGAGCTGTTACGCAGGAGTTAACTTCTAGGTGGTCTACTTGTATCTTTACTCCTACAAAACTCCTACTTCTCAAGTTCTTCTAAATTTCTCTCTTTTGGCGGCAGGGGCAGCCAGGCGATGGCTTACGAAACGCGACCCCCTGCGGGGATCGTGCGTGTCGGACGCACAAACGTGTTGTGAAATGCGAATTTCATCTTGGTCTCGAGTCTCGAGCAACCCTCTGCGGAGATCGTGCGTGTCGGGCGCACAAGCGTGTGGTAAAATGCGAATTTAATCTTGGTGAGCTACTTTGGATCCAAGGAATGTTCAAGCGAAAGGGCCAGGCCATTGATGTGGTTTTGTCGATTCTTTGCAAGCTGACAAGATGCGCAGGACTAAGGGTGTTGCCGTAAGTACTACACTCTTTTGGGACGGTTTAAATACAGGGTGCGTGCGGCGTGCGGGGTTGAGTGTTTGGCCGGAGCTTGGCACCAAATACTAACACGGTAGCCATAATTATACTTGTAAACACTGACGCTCTTTTTTCCTAGCGTTGCAATGGAAATTATGAGTGCTGACAGTGCTCTAGAAGTTTTGATTGCAGATGGGTTTAAGACAACGGTTTAAGATGGTTAAAGTCAAAGTACGTACATGCTTAAATTCCATTTTGGACACATTCAATCCGAATTCACGGACGATGGACAGGTCAGCTCACAGGTCTTTCCAGCTCAGCCTTGTTTTTCCTGGGACACATTGATCCATGATGGTCCATGGCCAAGCGAGTCCAAGCGGGTTGGACAACGGTCCAACTGGCCAATGCAAAGGGCAAGATGTGCCCCTGAGCTTCAAATCATTTTTGTGTGATACGGGTTTGTCTGAAAATCTCAAAGGGTCATCATCAGTTGCCCCATTAATGGCCTTAAAAGATCTTAAAAGTGGGTTCTACCCCATTTTTGGACAAACCCATGCAACTGCTTCTGTCCAAGACAGGAGTTCAGGCTGGAATGTTCACACTAGACTAGACTTGTTTTATTTTTAAAGCCTTCCCCCTTTTCAAGAGAGAAGCCAGCAAGAGGTCCTCGGACTCAAAGCGCTCAAAGTCCAAGTTTGATGTAAAATAACAAGGATGCAATTCTTGTTTTCAATTTTAGCATATTATATATAATATATATATATATATTATAGCAACTTGGCACCAAATGTGAGTGTAGTCTCTTCCAGGGCAGCGACAGAACTCACTTACTTATCCTACTTTCATCAAGATTCTAAATACAGCGGTTCTCGCGGGGATGTAGTTCTGGAGAGGCAGTGCTGTGCAGCGCACGCAGTGCACACGGACCCAGGGCACCGAAGTCGGCCAGATTGCCCGAAAAGGGCGTGTCCATCACCTGGTGATGACTTTCTGTCAAGATCTTTGTCGACATTCTGACCATATCAAAACAACTTAATTAAGAGCGGTCCTAAAGACATTCTGATCAATTTCTGATCATTCTGCATTTTCGTTACCTTCCACCATTTCGTTTGATGATTTGCTGCTCCCACGTGCCCATTGAGTGGACTGGCCAGGCGAGCCTTGTGGCCCTGAGAACCGCTTCTTAGTGGAGGCTCCTTTGGGACGAGGTCACTGTGCTCAGAGGGCCAAGGTTTTCTTCCCACATGGCCATGTCTGAAGTATGGGTATAGCCGTATAGCCCCAAAATGGCACTTTGAATGGGGAAAATGAATGAAAATCAATGAAACTGGTATAGCCGTATAGCCCCAAAATGGCACTTTGGATGGGGAAAATGAATGAAAATCAATGAAAATGGTATAGCCGTATAGCCCCAAAATGGCACTTTTAATGGGGAAAATGAATGAAAATCAATGAAAATGGTATAGCCGTATAGCCCCAAAATGGCACTTTGAATGGGGAAAATGAATGAAAATCAATGAAAATGATGATTCATGAAGTTTTGGGGTGCTCTATGTTCAGCGAAACTCAAACAAATTCTCAATGCACCGCCAATTTCAGAGAAAATTCCCAAAGCCTCTGGAAGGATCCAGGCATGTACAATTCCAAGATCATTTACACTCTGGTAAACTAACATAGCAATGGATTATGGTCCATTTATAGGGAGTTTCCCCATTAAAAATGGTGATTTTCAATAGCTATGTTAGTTTACCAGAGGGTAGATCGTTTGACGGTTTGTTTGAGCAGATTGCAGGAGCCCATCAGCTGCATCAGCATGAATCAGCTAAGGTTCCTTCAGCAGCGTTTTCCGTTGCTCCGACACCAAGGGCCGTGGGAAGGACAGGCCCCACCCTCCCCTGGAAGTCGCTTGTCCGGCATGTCCGGCAGCCCAAACTGGTGTAACGAATTTCAAAGTTCCAAGATCTACGGGAATCTACCGGCCAACTGTTGTGCTTTGTATACGTCTGCAACGCTTAAATATAATTACATAGAGGCATTTGGTTTGCCAAAGTGCTTTCGGCTAGGAGTATGCGGTGAAATTCATTCGTGACAATCCTGGTCTGCGAAAAGCGACTGAGCAACTTGGATTCTTTTGGCAACCCTTAGGGCATATGGCTCTTGACTGAAGACATCCTTCTGACGTCTTTTGACCAGCATTGCTCGTAGCTCACAGGAACCCAAAGCGATGGTATACCTCCAAGTCCCGGAACAACCTGAGCCTTCTTTCAGGTTTGGGGAATCAATATAAGATAATATAGTTCAAAGATAAATAAACTGCGATCCTTAGCAAAAGCGTTTGGACAAGAGATGGTTTTTCCTTCAGATTAATACACTTCGATCCTGCAAGCTAGATCGATGGCTTTGATTTCCAAAGGATTGGACAATTGCAAACATTTCTTTAGTTCCCTGGATGGGATGATGTTGAAGATCAAATTTGGACGACACCTCCATATTTGAGGTAAACATGGTACTATCTGGTACTTATTGGTAACGTACCCATCTCCTGCAGATGCTTTTTCCGAGGGCTGAAGTGCGCCTCATGCGGCGCATCCGGACCAAGGTGAAATATGGTGAAATGGACAGTGGGACATGATGGGCCGGTAGGATGAGATATGTGTATTGTATAGTACATATGATATTATATGTACAATATACGATAATATACGTATATATATATACATACTGTATATTATAATTTCATAATGTAATATCGGTTGATACGGAGATTGCGCAAGTGCACGATGCTTCACTGCCTCACAAAGATATGGATCAAGGATTGTTTTTGTATCGCAAGCACGCCCTCCACCCCTGAACAACAAACAAACCAACTAGAATTAGAAACTAACTGAAAACAAAACTACCAAATCGACAAACAATCGCCAAAACTGCCACGGCACCACACTGTAAGTTTTCCAGCAGACTCCCTTCGTCAGGCAGCCACCTTTTGTGTCAGTATCGGATCTCTTCTATCCTGCCAGAGCTATGCTTGAGATAGCTGTCGGCATGGCAATTCGAATTAGGAAAGAGCAAATTGAAACCCGAATTTCACACTCGGCCTCAGCAGACACAGGGACTTGAACATACTGTAATGTATATACATATATATATATATATATTACATACAGATATAACGTATATAGTCTAGTGGAGACATATCTACTATGATATCTATGACGGTTTATATTTAGTGTGTAGGATGATAGGTTGTGTGTCACACCAATTACCACCTAGGATGTCTACCTGAACATTGCACTATAGTCTATATAGTTGTAGACTGTAGTCTCGTCAGTCCTGGGATGTGCGATGTGAAAACTGTGGTACCAGGTTTTGATCCTGACAATGCATGAACATGTGTCGTAAATAATTCCGGAGCACTGTTCGTTCAATACACATACTGTCCTTTCTGCAGTTAAAGATGACAATGCAACTGCATTTGGAGGTCGGCATGTCATCCTATCAAGACAAGACAGCTGGGCCATCATAGAAGGTCACACAAGGTCGATGTAAGGCTTAAAAGCATTGACCCTCACTGACTTTCGCCAATACTCCTCCGGTGCTTCAATCGCTGGGTCCTTTCTTGAGAGGCCGTGGAGAAAGATTCGGAGGGTGCCAACTGTTTGTTGGGACTTGCAAGTTTAGAACCTTGGCTGCTGGGGTGTCAGAGAAGTGCCAAAGTTTTCTACCATGGGTCATTGCAACACAATCCCCCGAAGAGGTAGAGGCCGGGGGTATGCTTTGCCACGTTTCACTGCTGATGTATGAATGAAGCAATTTTGATGCAATTTGGGCTTTTCATTTGATCCATATCACAAAAGTGACACACAGGTGGCTTCCATGTCATACTTGTACGTTTTCGGACTTTTCTGAGTAGACACAGCCTCGTGCTACTCAGCAAATGACAGGCTCATGGCCTACATTTGATGTAACTCTCCTTCATTATCTCTAGTTCCCTTTCAAGATTTGATCTGCAGCATCACACCACAGCCGATCTAAACCAATGTACCACCAGCGGAGCTTGCGCTGCGGGCACCACTCATGGCCCTGGCACGGCCACCATCAGCACCACCATGGCCACCATGGCCACGGCTTGTGGAGCTGGGGAAGGAGCTGGCACTATCCGAAAGGTGCGAGAGGCGGCAAAGGCATGAAAGCCAAGGGAAAGGGAAGGGGAAGTGGAAAGGAAAGCATTCCTTCCACTTTGACGAAGCTTTGCTCGAAAACTATTGCTCTATCGAATTGACGGCGGAGGCTGTCTTGGGCTTTGGCGCCAGTGGCGTGACACTCCGCGGCCATTTTCGGGTGGCAGACGCCACTGTGCAGGTAGCCATCAAGACGTCTAGCAATGTGAGCGAACTTGAAGCCCTGAAGCGGATTGCAAGCCAATCAGCTCTGGCAGGAGTTGTTCCAGTGTTAGCAGTGGAACATCAAACCTTTTACAGCCGTTCCGTCCACATTCTTCAATTCCCTTCCCATGGAACATTGGCAAATGTCCTGGAAAGGAAGGATTTGAAGATCCTGGGTGCTCCAACCTTCCTGTCCATTCTGGAGAATTTAGCTACAGGCCTGATGGAACTTCACAAATTGTTGATTTTACATTGCGATCTCAAACCTGACAATGTGGCCATCCATTGCTGCAGTTTTGGGGTGGCCACTTTGTGGCTCATCGACTTTGGTGATGCAAGGCTTCTGGATGATTGGTCTCAGTGGCACTGGCAAGGCCCAGGTGATCCTGCCATCCACTGCAAGGTGGACGTCCGGGCTGGGCATTTTTCGGAAAAAACTGATGCTTGGTGCCTGGCACAAACAGCTGCTTGGTTGTGGGATGGCTGGCGTCCCCGAAAAATGTAAAAAAATGATTGTAAGAAGTTTTCTAAACTCATATCAGATCATATCATAGCAGTATAACAACTCAAAAAATATTCCCCCAAAAAAACGTGGCAGTCCAAAAAGTCAGTTGTAAGAAGTTTTCTAATCTCATATCATAGCAGTATAACAACTCAAAAACATTCAAAAAAAACCGGGGCAGTCCAAAAAGTCAGTTTCAATATTGTTGATTGCTTCATTTTTCTCAACAATATCTAAACATATATTACCTCATTAATTTTTCAAAAATCATCACTACTAACCATATCTAACCTCTTTCATTTTTTCAAAATCATCACTACTAACCATATATTACCTCTTTCATTTTCAATATCATAACAGTCAATACACCATTACCTCATTCGTTTTATTAAACCTAACTACTGACCATTATTTAAGTTTCTTTGATGCTTTTCTGTTTTCTTATGCTTGTAGTAATGTGCTTGGGTCATTGAACAATCACAAACAGAACAACTAACAATTTTAGATTGAAATGTTTTATTATAGTCCTGCTTCATTTTTCTATATTCATCATCTTCTTCATATCTTTTTCTTTGAACCTCATTTCGTTTATGTTTATGTTTGTGATAACTGTTTCTTTTATCTGATAAGCACATTTTACAAGTTTTTAACCCTTCATCAAAATTATCAATGTCCATAGTTCTTTCACAAGTTTTACAGGCTTTATCCTCCATAAATGATTATGTTTTCATTTTTTTTATGGAATATATTTTATTCATAGAAAATCACATCATCACCTCATCCATTCCATACCCAAAACAAAACAACAAAGCAAAAAACAGAAAAGCACCCCAACAATATAAAGAACAAAACAATGGACGCTTCGCCAGAAGTCTCGCGAGGCATCCGCGGCAACAATAAATATAAACCCCTACCCTTTAATAATCCTATCTTTTCCATAATTCTAATAAATAGTATTATTAGCATTATGTTAGTAGTAGTATCTTCAATAATTCTCAATTTAAAATGAAATGCTTGTATTCCTATGATACTCTCTTTATCATTGTCTTCATCTATATCTTTCTGTATTTCTTCAACTGCTTTCTCTAATATTTCCTCTACATTATCTTCATCTACATATTTTATTTCAAACCTTAGTCTCTTAAATTTGGATTCCTGTAGATTTCATATGTCCAGGGAAAGAACTATGGAAAGAACTATGTAGCAATCCATGGAAATAAGGGGTGTTTCCACTAAAAATGTCACCCAATGAAGAAACCCACCACTTTGAAAGAAAAACGCATTGCTCCAAGTTCTTGGACAAAAACCCTTTCAACATCAAGTTAGATGTTACATACAAACTTCGTATTTGAAAATATTGGTCCGTAAGTTGGAAAGGAAAACAGTATACAACAATATACAACATCTGTGTAATTCGGGGCCCCATTATTCTTCAAAAAGGAGAACACCAAAGAATGCATGTGCGCAAGCTCCAACTAGAAAAAAGAACTCATAAAAACAATGTTACGATGTGACCCTGTATACTGTAAAATTGGTTAACTAGTGCATTGATGAGTGTATGTATGGCTGTGTGCCCATGTGCATGGATGAACTGCAAATGCAAATCCACAGTTTTTAAGTATTGTTTTCGGTGCTGCGAAGACCACGGTAAAACTTAGGTAAAACATGGTGAAACAAATTTATAAACTGCGAACGGAATCCTACGTATTTGTAGCAGATCAAAGATGTGTTACTGTATTTCTGTCGCTACGCTGTTGTGCATTGGTCCGTAGCAGCGTTGCAGTAACAGATTACAATCATTATAAATATGTCATAAATTTTATCCAAATACAACGCTTAAACTTCATTGTTGCGTTTTATACAAACAAACCCCGTCGATATACTTCCAAACTTTCAAACACACACGAACAAACAAGAACATATAATTCATCTAAAAACTCAAACAGTCTTATATAAATCATAAATACAAAGCAAGTAAAGTAAAGCAAACATCAAAAATATACTTATAAAGTTAAACAGTTGAAGTCAAATCGAGAAGTACGGTCAAAGTTATGTTACAAGTTAAAGGTTCTAAGTTTTAGTTATAAGTTGTAAGTTCAAAGTTAAAAGGTTACACAGTTATAAGTTACACAGTTTTTAGTGTCAAGTCATAACTAGAAGCTCTAAGTTGTAAATTAACAGTTATAACAATGTGTTTCAATTTTAAAACAGTTCCTAAACCTTATAAATTGATTTATTGAAGTTTGATAGTCAAGAGTTATGGATTATGAGTTGTATTTTACAAAGTAGCTAAAAGCTACCAGTGTGTATATTTGGTTTTATCAAGTTATATACAAGTACTAGGTATTAGGGTTAAGTCCTTGCATCGTGTGTTAAGTCGTAGCGGATGAGCGTCTGCCTTGCGGAAAGGCATATTGGGGAGCATCATATAACATATTGGATAAGCTATGCATGTTGTTTCTATGCTTAGATGTGTGTCTGCCATGCGTTGCTTTGTTTTCGCAACATATATGTTTGTGAGGATTGGTAAGGTTCAAATATGATAGAATAGCATGAAATAGTATGTAAAGTGATGTATTCTGGTGTATCACGTTTAAACATTTTGGGTTAGTCATGTATGTTGTCTTTGCTCTTGGATGAGTGTGTGCCATGCGGTGCTTTTTTTTCGAGGTTCTTTGTCTATCAGCATTGGCCAGGATTCAAACATGAAAGGGTAGTATACACTATGTAAACTGATATATTTCATGGTATCATTTTATCACCATTTGGGTACTTCTGTATTTGTTTTTTTCGTTTTTGGATGAGCGTATTCCACTGCAACTGTTTGCTGAAGCCGAAAATCTTCCAGCTCCAGGATTTGGGTAAGGGTCTGTCCCGGGTAGTTTTTGACCTCGTTTGGTACCTCGTTCGGACCTCGTTCTGACCTCGTTCGTGACCAGCCTTTGTTTGGTCTTTTTTTTGTATGTTTTGTTGATTGCTTTTGCTTGCCCTGTCCGTGAAAAACCAACTGTAATCTGACCATGGTTCCTGCGCTCGCGTTTCCATGGTGTTTGGCATCGCAATTGCCGTTCCTAGACATCTTCAAATCATGTCTGTGACATTGGGTTTTCACTTATGAACTGTACCCAACATATCCATCGTCAACGCGCGTTTCGATTGTAACTTGTACACAAAACATATGTGCAAAACATGCCCTGGACATATACCTTTCACCGTCAGGCCATGCTAAACAGAACAACAAGGATCCTAAAACCCATTGCATTCCGTACGCGTTTCCGTGGTGAAACCATAAAAATGCTATGACTTAAACGGAGCTGCTATGACTTAAAACGTTCGCAGCGTTTCCATGCGAAAACAAGCCCCCTGCAATGACTTAAAACGAAATGCTATGACTTAACCCTTCCACTTGTATAAAAGTAAGTTAACATACAAGCCATTATTTGGGGTTTGCAGAACGGTTCGGAACGGTTCCGGAGATTTCCCCAGAACGGTTCGGAACGGTTCCGGATACTTCCAAAACCTCAGAACTATTTAGAACTATTTAGAATGGTTCCGGAACGGTTCCGGATTCAAAGCCTATAGACCCCAGAACGGTTCGGAACGGTTCCGGAGACCTCCATATAATAGCATATGTTAACTTGTATAATAGCATATTTTGACTATATAATTATTTAACTTTAATACATAGAGTTTGAACAAATAAACGCATACTAGTACCATAAGCAATGATGATTCGACACAAGCGATACTTTCAAACGGATATTTCAATACAAACTACACAGTTGTATGATTT